GCCATGTCTTCTGGGGTCCCACCAGTTTCAGTCAGACCATTGTGTGGTCTTTTTACTAGAATTTGAGTTCTGCACCCTACTTTTCTCCTGCTCCGTCAGGGACTCTCTGTTGTGTTCCCTGTCAGGGCAGTCATTGGTTGTAGTCGGGCATCATCTAGTTCTTCTGGTCTCAGGCTGATGGAGTCTCTTGGGCTTAGGCTGTAGTCTTTATGGGAGTGGATCACCAGGTCATTCCTCTCGCAGAGCCGCTGGTGGATTCAAACCACTGACCTTTCATTTAGCAGCCAAGCACTTAACCGCTGCACCACCAGGGCTCCTTGAACCAACCCAAACCCACTGTTGTCGATTTCAATTCATAGCAAACAGATAGGGTTTCCAAGGCTGTAAACCTCTATGGAAGCAGACCGCCACATTTTTCTCCCTTGGAGCTGCTGGTGGTTTTTACCTGCCCACCTTTTGGTTAGCAGCCAAGTGCTTAACCATTTCGTCACCAGGGCTCCTAGAACCAACCCAGAACCTTACAATATATGACAAAAAATGGTGATGGCATCAGGAGTAAAAATCCAAAGGTAGTCTGGCACACACTTGTCTCTGCTGCATAAAATGTAGTTAGACCTTCTCATAGCTTATTAAAAAGATATTATCCCAGTTTTTTTTTCCTTAACCTTGAAAAGTTCTGCTTCCCAGGTACAAAAAACCCAGATGTTTTCTGCATTTGAATCCATGTAGCAATCTAACAAAGTCACCGGTGTCCATGGGGTAGGCAGCCTCTTGCCGAAACTTGTCTGATAGGACTTGCTCAGGATTAGCTGTAGTGCAGAAACCCAATTTGGGAACACTATAAATGTGTTTGTATTTGCAGCAGGCAGCATCTTGTTACCCTTCCCAGAAGATCCTATTCCTGGATACTGATAAACTGTTGATGGATCCGTGAATTCTGTCTTTGTGATACTGGTTCCACTTTGGGTGGGGGTCTGGAGTTATTTTTTCAACTTTCATGAAATGGTCTGCAGCTTAGCATATGGTTTTGCAACCATCCAGAGTGCAAACGATCTTTGAAACGGAAGTACAACCCATCTGAAAAGTGGTGTTAAAGGCTTAAAGACAAAAGGGGAAAGGTCCAGGAAGGCAAATTTAAGACTAGTGCAGAGCAGTGGATCTGTTTCCAAGACTCAATTGCTCACCATTCCTGTGCTGGCCAGGGGAGCACCCGGAACTCTTAGTTACTTTCAGCTACTCGCCTCAGGCCAAGTTCACAGGCAATCACCATTTCTGCATCTTTCAACTGCTTTATGGACACATTGCCTGATTCGGGGCCACTGCCAGGGCTACACTGGCTGGCTGGTCTTAAGATTCTTCTTTTTTTTTTTAGTAATATTTTATTGAGTTTTTGGTGAAAGTTTACACAGCAAGTAAGGTTCCCATTTGACAATTTCCACACAAACTGTTCAGAGACGTTAGTTACACTTACCACGTGTCAACATTCTCTTTGTGTTCTGTTTGTTCCATTTCCAGTACTCTAGTTTCCCTGACACCTTAGCTCCTCATCTTTGCTTTTGGGTAACTGTTGACCTTTTGGTCTCACACAGATGGTTTTTAAGTAGAGCACCAATCTTACAGGTAATATCCTTTATTTTGTGTGCTACTCTGCTATTTTGCTAAAAGGTGATCTCAGGGGATAGGCTTCGTTCCAGGTTTAAAGAGTGCCTCTGTTCTTTACTGTTCCAGTTTGTCTGGCTTTTATTAAAAATAAAAATTTGAGTTCTGCTCTGTATTTTTTTTCCATTCTATCTATCCAGGACCAACTATTGTGACCCCAATCAGAAGGGTCAGTGGTGGTAGCTGGGCACCATCTAGTTCTTCTGGTCTCAGGTTAGATGAGGTTGTGGCTTATGTAGACTTGTTTCTTCTCAGAGCTTTTGGTTGCCTTCTTAGTATTTTGCTCCTGGCAAGTAGAGACCCGTATTTTTGTCTTAAATGGCCCCTCTTAAGTTTTTAAGACCCCAGTGATACCTCCTTCACAGGATGCAGATCATGATTTTTGTGAATTGTCATGCCAATTGACTGAGCTGTCCCATAAAGCTATGGTTCTAAGCCTTCGAACTCCTAAAACCAATCTTGGAAGGTGTTTGATTATGTTTCAGGCGTATTCATATATGTGTCTTCAATGAATATGTGGGCCATACGCGGGCTTCTTGATAATGCTGTTAACAATGGCAGGTGCAGGCCAGCCCCAGGGTGCCTGCCCCAACTTACCTCGGGCATCTCCTGGGGCTGGGCAGGCTGAAGCCCTCAGCAGGCTAGCTGAGGCCCTAGGATAGTGCCTGCCAGCCCTACAGCCCACTGCAGCACCCCTAGTCATGGGTAGGAGGTGGAGCCCACTCCCCTTCAATATGCAGTGTCATGGTCTTTTACTCTTAGCACTTGCATTGGGCATGTGTTACTTTTGCCTTCTCAGCATTCCTTCCCCACTCTTCCTTTGGGGAACTTCGTCTCCCATTCCAGGTGGCCTCCGGGCCTTTGTAATTAAATGGTCTTCCCCCAGTGTTCTGGCCTCATTAAACATCACCTTCTTAGACAGCACTGTCCCAACCGCCCTATCTAAAGTCTGGACCCACCCTCAGTCCCTTGGCCCCAGCCACTCCACCTTATTACCCTGCTCTAGTTTCTTTCCTAACACCTGTTGTTGTTGCTGCTGTTGTTAGCTGCCATAGAGCTGCCCCCCAATGGAACAAAATGCTGCCAGTCCTCGGCCATCCCCAAGATCAATTGTGGACCGAACTGCTGGGATCCATAGGGTTTTCACTGGCTGATTTTTGATCACCAGGCCTTTCTTCCTAGTCTGTCTTAAATCTGGAAGCTCCACTGAAACCTGCTCAGGATCATAGCAACATGCAAGCCTCCACTGACTGACGGGTAGTGGTTGCACATAGGGTACACTGGCTGGGAATTGAATGCAGGTCTCCTGCATGGAAGGCGAGAATCTACCACTGAACCACCACTGCCCTCTTTCCAACACCTACCACTCTGAAATCGTCTTATTCATCTGTCTGTGCTGTCCTCTTCGCAGGAGACCATAAGCTCCATGAAGCAGGGAACTGTGACTATATTCCCTGTTCCTAGCATAATGCCTGCTATATTTGTCAGTGAAGGGTCCCACCTGGAGCCTGCCCTCCAGCCTTGAGCCTGGCTGGACTGGAACACTCCCCTCCAGGCAAGTGACCCAGGACAGCCGTGGACTCAGAGCTGCAGAGGTCTGGACGCCTGGTTACCTGGTTACCTTAACAATGGCAGATACCGAGGTATTCATGGGTGAAAGGACTCGATGTCTAAGCTTTTCTTTAAAACATTCCAGAAAAAAGGAAGTACGGGGGGCTGTAGCTGAAATAAGATGTTGGTAAGAGTTGAAGTTGGGTTTGGTTACGTAGGTTCATTATACTATTCTATTTTTGTATGTGAAATTTTTCCTAAAAAAAATGGGCCGGGGTGAGAGAGGGAAGGGAAAAAGGGACTGAGCCCCTAGGCAAAGGACCCTGAACTAAAAACATGTGCTTAAAAATGACACAAAACCCATTATCTTGGAACAACCCACCCAGCTTTCAATGTACTTCCTTGATGTTTTTCAGAAGAACCGGCCTGATCTTGTCCCTGGAGCATGTGCAGACAGCCGCAAGGTGACCGACAGACCCACGACAGCAATCGAGCTGGCACCATGGGGCAACTGCGCAGGCATGGCACCCCATAATAAGTCCTGCCATCCAGTCCCAGGAGCCTTTGTTACGGTTTCCATCTTGAACTACCTCTTGCGTGTGCACCTAATCTTCATAACCCCACCTTTCATGAATAAAGATGATGCCTTTTCCCACCTAAAAACCTTTATAAGCCCTAGCCAATCCTTTGTTCGGGGAGACAAAGGCTAGCGTTGTTTTCTCCCTCTGTCTCTGCTCTCGAGCTACTTTTTCCTCAATAAAGCTTTGTTGGTGCAGAAAACTTGAGCCTCTCCTGGTCATTCTTGGTCAGTAGAAGGCAAGAACCTCATAGGGGCTGCCCAGGTTGGGCAGAAGACCCCGGCAACAGGGGGAGGGAATTTTTAAGAGTTCTATTAGCCATATTTCTTCTCTACTGGCCTGCAACATAAGAAGTCTAAAAAAGCCATCATTCCGTGTTACTATGAGTCAAAACTGTGGTAAATATTTAAGATAACAGCGTCATATTTCATCAAGTGGAAGTACAATTTACTTAATTAGTCCTCTATGACAGCTATTTAGATTATCTCAATTTTTTGCGGTTATAAACAGGTCTACTGTGAACACCATTGTGTTTATATATTTTTCTGTATTCATTCTTTTCACAGATGTGTTCTCCGAGATAGAACTGCCGGGTTAGACAGGCAGCATTAACATTTTAAGGAGCTTGATAAATTTTGCAAAATTTCTTACCACAAACAATTGCATAGCATTCTATTTTACCACATTGTAGCCAGCACTTAGTATCATCTGTCCTTGCTAACTCCAACAAGCAGCATTATCTCACTTTCTCTCCGATCTGCATTTCTTTGATTACTAGTGAGGACAAGCTCCCCCTCCCCACATGCTGTGAATGCTGAGCCAAGACTTCAGGGAGGAGTTCTGAGTTTTATTTTTCGTTTATTGAAACTTACAGAGCAAGGCTATGAACATAGTCTTGTATTTGTCAGTTATTTTCCCCTTTACACTCGTGTAATCTTACCTTCTGATTGTGTTGCAGGAAGTTTCTTCGCCCCAGCCTGCCTGAGGCCAGATAAACTGCTCTCCCCCTCCAAGGGACTCCGAACCACTCACTGCAAAGCTGAGGAGACTTAACATCCCTGAGAGAGGAGACGGCACCACTCAGGCCTAGGCCACTAGCTCAGGCCGGGGTTTCCCAGACCAAGGAGTCCTGCACTTCAGGGCTCCATGGGGAACAGCTCTGCCCACCATCCTCAGATCCCACATCAGTGTGACATGGACAGGACTGGGGGGGGTTGGTATCAAAGGGTGAAAGAAACCAAACTCTATGCCAAAGAGAAACTAAGTAGGACCTGGAGAAGAAAAGCTCTGAGGGTAACCTAAAGGTTTTAAATCAAACATCTGAACTGTTAAAGGCCTAAAACATTACTGAGTTATCTAGTTCAACTTCCTTCACACTGGACACAGGGAAATGGTGAGAGGGGAGGAAGGCTGGGTTCTCTGAGCGATGTTAACTCTAATTTAATAGCTGTCATCATATGATAGCAGTCACGCCGAGGCTTAAACCACATACCCCCACCACAGTAGCAATGAAAAAGTCAATAAATCTCAGAAGAAAATCAACCACCAAACAAAATACTTATACACAGGTCTGCCCCTTACCCTGCTAGCACACCCCATGTGAAGTCAAACGCACAGGCAGTTTCCATACTAGCAAAATACTTTTATTATTTTTATAATGATAAAACAAGGAAAGATTTCTTTTTGGTGTATACCAGAGTTAAGGGAAGTAGAAGAATAAGGGGATTAATAGGATATTTATGTACTCTGATGACAGTAAAAAGTTAACAATACCAACTGTTGCCATAAAACTTATCATAGCTCCCCAAAAACACATATATAAAGGATCATAGTTTTAAAATCTATAAAAGTAAAAAATATACAGTCAGATCTAACTCTTATTCCATCTTTAATATAAACTTGTAAACATTTATTTACACAAAGTAAATGTGTATAACAAAAGTCCGAGCACCCTTTTCGTTTGAGTCCTGGCCCTGGGAAGACGAGGATCTGCACCAAAGCACAGTCACTCCTCCTGACTACCCAGAAACCAGACTTATAAATAAAGCCACGGGCAGCTCCCTGGGGGGACCCCAAGAATCACATTTTATTGCTATGACACTGCAGCAAGTGAGAAGCCCAACCGCCTGTCTCCCCAGCCCCCCAGCCCCGGGACCCAGGCAGGGAGCGTGGGTTCTTGCCCTCTCAGACCACCCCAGGGACAGAGGTGGGCAGCAGCCAGAGGGAGACCAGAAAAGGAAAAGGATCCAGATCAGTCTCAGGCCCTGCTATTTTTGGTAGAAAACATGCTGAAGTCGCCCTCTTCTCCTTAGATTGGGGAACTCACTCTGAAGGTGGAGTCTTCACTGGCTTTATGATTCACTTCCTTCTTTGAGAGCTAAATTCAGCATTTGGGGAAGGCTGGGAAGGTGTTTACAGGGGAAATGATCCAAACACCACCCATGGTGGCAAATGGCTATTAGAGAAGAGGATCTGAGGGTTCAAGAACCCCCAATGAAAAAGGCACTGCTGGTGCAGAATAATTACCAATGTGTGTACAGCCCTCCATCCCCTCAAAGCAACTCAGGCTGTTCACGTGAATATTTCCCTCGGCTCCATTTCCGCACACGATACTTGACTGATCTGCTTTGAGACTTCAGGAAAATAAAAACGGGGGTTGAGGTTTCTCCACAGACTGCTCTGCATATAAGCCACTCTTTTCAGTGTATCATTTTCTCTCTAACATTCTGTTTAAAAGGGTCTCACCCTGCGCTTACCGTTTTGCTTTAATTATACGGAAGTGCTCACTCCATCTTCGTTTCCCACAAACAGCCCATCATGTAATACTCTATTCTGCAGAATCTTAGCTTAGCCAAGTCCATTAATTCATAGACCTTAAAAGAAAAATCCACTTGAATATTTAGAAAGGATACATTAGTGTTATAAAGCAATTCTCTCTTAAAAAGTGCAAGTCATCTGATATGGGAAGAGGCAGAAAAGAGTCGTAGAACAGTGGAATTCCTCCTCTGGGCCTGTCACATAAGACTCCCTGCCAACCAGGACACTCTTAGTTTTTGAGTTCCCAAAAGCTTTACTTTCTGGGGAGGAGCGATCTCACCTCCTTACAATGTTCAGGTTCCCTATGGAATTTTAACAACTTTTTTCTTCTCCCTCCAATCTAGTAAATCATTGCCCTAAAGAAGTTTTTCCATTTTGGCTGGAGAGAGGAAGAAGGGGAAGCAGAAGGTCACTTGAAAGGAAAATGGGGTAAAGGAAAGACATCTGTGCACCACGTTCCTAACATGTTCAATACAAGTTTTCTGAGTAACTCGCGAAGGTGGGAGGTTAGAACACATAAGAACACAGGAAATCCCACGTATCCACTTTTGCCGTTGACCCTGGAAGCGGGTGCTCCTTCACTTGAGGGGATTGCCTGGGGTCCTGCTACCAAGGGCACGGCAAAGGGACTCCTCTGGGGTCAGGGCCTCCTAAATTTCAACAGGAAGAACAACCTACTGCAAGCAGGAGATGCCAGAGAGACCACGTCTGTGTCATAAGGTCTGCGATCTCCCAGCACCCTGTTCCTGTCTGGCCTCCGCAGGGCAGCCTGCACTTACAGAATGATTTTCCAGCCACTCCCTTCCCCTGAAAGTTGACAAAGAGGAAGAAAACCCTAGGTGTCCAGTGCCCATAATCAACTTAAACCACTACCTATCCTAATCTGTTTAAAACCCTTTTAAAAACATTTTTTTAAACTTTTCTACGCTACAAATTGCAAATAATTCTGCTATATAAAAAGTTTCAACAAAAACTTGTCCCCAAAACTGGGACAATGAAGAAACCTTGGATTAAGTCAACATGACGGCGCAGATTTTTTTTGTAAGCCTGACATTGTGAGATTTCACTGTTGTTGTTTCTGTTGGATTTTTGGTCATCTGGACAGAAAACCACCTTTAGAATACTCTGCTGTCCCAACACCAGGTAATGAAGCCAGCAGATGGGCTGGAGCCAGCCCGACATACCACAACTGCTGGCCTGGGAGCCACGTGCCCGCAGAGCCTGCCTGGGCTGGGCCCTAACACTGGGCTCTGGCTTCACCGGCCCAGATCCCTGTCCATGGGCTTTTGGTCCGAAGTAGTTGTTTTTTCTTGAATCTGAGAACAAAAATATAGGTTGTATGAACACTAAAAACATCTTAAATTCTCCCATTACTGTGATCCTAAAAGGTCATCCAAATCATTAATCCATTCTTCTGAAGTCCTGTTTTTCAGCAAGGAGTCGATCAGGTCGGTATCCCCAGCCATGCTGGGCAGCCCGCTGCTGCCTGGCTGCCCACTGTAGGCGAAGGGCAGCTCCTGGCCCGCGGTCCGCACCGGGTAGCCCTGGGCACAGTGCAGCCCTGCCCGGCCCCCCATCTGTGGGGCTGGGCTCTGGCTGAAGGCCCCCAGCTCAGGCACGGCCGGGCTCAGTCCTGGCAGGACCTGTGGTGGGGGTCCCTGTGGAGGTGGTGGTGCAGGTGCGCTGGTTCTCTGCTGCGTGTTCACGGAGGGCAGCATGGACCCCGCCGCGGCCACCGAGCTCATGGGGGCCATGGGCCTGGTGGGCATCGCCTGGGAGAACTGTGGGTTGGACATTTTCATGTGGGCCTGCTGCATGTGGAAACTGGAGGCTGCAGTAAAGGGGCTTACGCTGGGGCTCCCTTGGGTCTGGCCACTCAGGTTAGGCATTCCCTGATGCTGCCACGACGGATTCTGGCCTCCCATGGCTGCTGACACCCTTGACACCTGTGGCTTAGTTAAAGCAGAGTTCAGGGTCCCCTTACTGTGCTGCTGGGAGAGGCCAGAGCTCCCCAGAGAGTTCTGCCCATAGGCAGCTGAGACCGAGGCGTTCTGGCTCACGCTGGCCTGCCGTGGAATGTGGGTGTGTCCATTGGTGGCCTGTTGCGGGGGCTGGGCAACTATCTGGGTTATGCCTGAGGTCATGCCATAGAGGCTGCTCTGTGGCAGGCTCTGGGAGCCAGTGAACTGAGCCACACCCCGATCCTGCTGGCCCGAGCTGGAGGGCAGAGAGGAAACCACACTGTGTCCAGGGCCCAGTGGCATGAGATTCCCAGTCGGAGGGAATGCTCGAGGACAGCTGGAGTTGGACGGACCCAAGTTATTCATGCCAGGCACAGCAGCAGAGGATCCTAGAAGCAAGAGAAGACTCTGTCAACCAATTTGGCATTTCTTGACCACCTTTGCAGTGATGTCCACAAGGCCTTGTCTCATAGTCTGCGGCACACAGCGAAGAAAGAGCCGGGGGTAGAACGAGGCAAGGCTAGAACAATGATGGGGCTCAGACGAACACAGAGGAAGAGGAGACCCTCCAGGAGGGGAAGCCAGTGGATTCATTCATTCATTTTTTCAAATACCCAGCAAATCTCTGTTCCATGGTGGAAACTATGCTGGGCACTGGGAACTTGAAGGTGGATCCAACCCAGGATCTGCCGCTGGGAGGCAGAAGTTACTATATGGTGTGATGAGGGTCATAATAGGCTTTGTAGCAGCTGTGGGAGCACCAAGGACCAGGGGGGGTCAATGCCCTGGAAAATCTGGGGGAGGCTTCATAGTGTCAATGACAAGTACAATGGGTTTTAAAAGAGCAGAAGTTTAGCAATTAAGCATTTTGGAGACAAACAGCATTACTAATAGAGAAGAATGTGTGCAAAGGCAAGGAGTTATGGAAAGGCAGTCTGCGTGAGGCACTTGAAGGTGCTGGTCAGAGGTAGGGTGTGGGGAAAGTGTCTAATTGGTTAAAGACAAAGCTGGAGGGAGATTCGATGACAGGTTCAGAAGGACTTTGGATGCCATGCTCAAGAACAGGGCTGTAAAGCCAAAGAGAAACTGCACAGGGACTGGGCTCAGACTCTGCTGGGAAGAGGCTGTTAGAGTCACGTGGATGACAGGGCACATAAAAAGTGCTGGTGGGGGGATGAAGAAGGAAAAAGAATGTGTGAATACACCTCCCCAGATCCTATAGTTTATACCTGAGATGGGCAAGATGGCCAAGGGAGGGAGAACTCAATAACCAAAGGATGGATTCACCACATATTTACTGAGCACCTACTCTGTGGTAGGTGGCAGATGCTGACTGGGAGACAGTGCGGAATGCTGATGCTGTCATCTGTGATACCACAGTGAGCAGACAGGAGGGAAGAAAAGAAGCAAAAGGCCAAACAACTGCATTAAGTCTCTCCTTATCTAGAAAACGAGAGGGTCATTTTTTGAAGAGACATATGACGGAAGAAGCAAAGAAATTTCTTAAGAATTACAGAAGGCATTTTCTGCTGATAAGATGTCCTCCAACTAGAAATGATTTTGCATCAAGACTGCACAGCCAGGGATCCAGCACAATATTTCTTCTGGTCAGCCCCTTTGACCCTCTGCTCTTGGTGCTGCAGGGTAAACAGAAGGCCAGGCTCTTAGATTCAAGCTCTTATGAGCAATTAAACCCGGGTAGTACCTAGCATGAAGTCAGGCAGAGAGCAGGAGTTCAGTTAGCACTGGACGACTGACAGCAAGCTGAAAACGCCGACTGGCAGGCCCAGTACTTGTGCCCCCCCGTCCCTATTCCATCACTCCCTCATCACTTTTCTTTACCTGTGAACTGTCCAACCTGTTGTGAGTAGGTGTTTTGTGTCGGATCTTGGTACTGGGGTGGTGGGCGGGTCAGATGGCGCTGAAACTGCTGCTTCTCCTAGAAAAAGCCAAAAACAACAGAATCACATAAAACAAAGAAAACAGGGTATTAGGTCAGGGAAAAGTAAATTGTCCAAGTCTATTCCTCATACAAAGGCTCCTGTGGAGATAATACTGGTGATCTCACTTTGGAGATTTTTTAAATTGTGATGAAAATACACATAACAAAATATACCCCATCTCAACAATTTCTGCATGTACAATTCAGTGACACTGATGACATTCTTCAAATTATGCAACTATTCTCGATATCCTTCTCCAAATCATTCTACCACCATTAACATAAACTCAATGCTCCCTAAGCAAAACTCTCCCTTTCCCCTTCCCTCCAGCTGTGGCAACCACTAATAAACTTTGGTTTCTGTGAATTTGCTTATTTCATATAAGTGAGATTATACAATATTTGTCCTTTTGCAACTGATTTATTTCACTCAGCATGATGTTTTCAAGGTTCATCCATATTGTGGCATGCATCAGGACTTCATTTCTCTTTATGGCTGAGTAATACTCCACTGTATGTTTATCCATTCATCTGTTGATGAACATTTCAGCTATTTCCACCTTCTGGCTATTGTGGAAAGTGCTGTAATGAACTCACTCTGGGGATTTAAAATTAATAGTATGACAAAGAAGGATGGGGCAGATTTAAGGAGCCAAGAATTACAAAAAGGTGGGTATTATCAGTTTAAAAAGTAGAGGGCAGATCAGGGAAATGCAAATCAAAGCCACAATGACATACCACTTCACACCCACTAGGATAGCTAGAATGAAAAAGACAGATAATAACAAGTGTTGGGAAGGACGGGAAGAAACTGGAACTTCACACACTGCTGGTGGAAATGTAAAATGGTGCAGCCGCTGTGGAAGTTCCTCAAAAGAAGTTTGTGGCAGTTCCTCAACAGGTTAAACAACAGAGTTCTATATGACTAAGCAATTCCACTCCTACATACATACCCAAGAGAAATGAAAACATATGTTCACACAAAAACTTGTATATGAATGCTCACAGCAGCATTATTCGTAACAGCCAAAAAGCAGAAACAACCCAAATGTCCATCAACTGATGAATGGATAAATAAGATGTGGCATATCCATATGATGGAATATTATTCAGCAATAAAAAGAAATGAAGTCCAGAGACAACATGAATGAACCTTGAAAGCATTTGTATGAAATGTCTAGAACAGGACAATCTATAGAAAAGTAGATTAGTAGTTACTACTGGCTGGGGAGGTTGGGGGAAATGGAATGACAACTAATGGATACAAAATTTCTTTTGGGGGTGTTGAAACTATTCTAAAACTGACCGTAGTGATGGCTGCACTTACCTGTGAATGTACTAAAAATCAATGAATTTTACACTTTAAATGCGTAAATTATATGTCATGTGAATTACATCCCAATAAAGCTGTTACTGAAGAAACAAACTACCACAAAAGCAAAGAATGGCAGAACTGAGGCAGTGATGTGGGTTTTAAAGCTGTCCTCAATCATCTCCACACTCTCGATAACTAGTTCTTCTCTTAAGTCTTAATGTAATTTGAAGTCCTGAGACTTTACCTTGAACCCTTAGTGTCTGCAGGTAAACTGTAAGACTGGGAGGGACTTTGTCTCTCCTGATTCTAAAACCTCAGAACTTTTTCAAGTCTCTATTTCACTTTCTTGCTTATAACAAACTGTCTACATTTACAACAAAGCTGGATTCCATGGCAAACCAAATAATAAGTAAGCTCAGTGGTTTGAAAGCTGCCAGGCAAGGGACATGGAAACATTCTGATGTACAATTTTAGCCACATATTCTGCCTTCATTAATCCTTACTAAGGAAGTGATACAATGCCACATTCCCAGAGACGGGTTTGTAAAGGGCAAAGCCCTCTAGTCCGGACACGCACACACACCAGTAAGTAGGCTTGCAGACCCTGCCATGACTTAGGATGCAGGCCAAGGAGAAAGAGGTTCCTCTCCCTTTCTTCTTACCTTTTCTGCCAGAAGGTGCTGTTGCCTTTGCAAGAACTGCTGTTGCTGCAAGTGCTTCTGCTGCTGCTCCCTCTGTTTCTGTTGGTCCAAAAGCAACTGATGTTGCTTCATTACCACTGCCTGCTGCTGGCTACTGAGATATGAAGTGCTGTTGTGAGTGTTGCTCATGGACACGGCAGGTGGCTGGGTCCCCACACTTGTGGCCTGGGTTGGCACGGATGTGGACGCGTGAGGGACGTTAGCGGGGTTCTGCTCCTGTCAACAGATAATGGGATTCTCGTGAAGCCTGCGAACTGACCAAACGAGCCGAGCTCCGCCCAGGAAGTGCCCCATTCATGGCTCCCTCTCTTGAACACAAGCCTCAGCCTCAGCTGCACTGCTAATGACTCCAAATGACAGTCATTTTTACAGGGCCCAGGTGGAGACTAAAAGCTAATACTGGAATAGACAGGTACCTAGCAATGAACAATCACATATGCTGGCTTTGCTCCCTTTGAGTCACCAGCAGCAGAGGTGTGCTTTTACATCAGGCAGGTTTAAGCTCATATACTTGCACGTGGTAGGTGCAATAAGCAATTGTGGCTTGTAAATACTGACTTATCAGCATGTCTGCATGTAGACAGGCCACAGGGGAAGACCATTCTGAAGAGGGACTCTGGTTTATGGAGGCGCTATGTCCCAGGTGTGAACACTGGGTCCCTGGCTTCAGGGCTATCTGAAACTGTTGTCATTTGTCCATTTGTGAACAAGCACTTTTCTGGGAAGAGACTGCTCAGTTTTTGTCAGATACTCATGCTCATAAACTACTGAGTATCAATGTGAACTTTAATGGATATCACCTGTTCATACATGGACCAAAAGTGGGATTCATATCAAAGGCCACCACAATATTATCTTAACATCATTACTTAACTTTAAAAGGGGAAAATTTAACTCAAAACAGGAAAAAAGTATTTTATGCATGTTCAAATTTTTGAGCCCCTTTCGTATTTTTAATCTTTACAAGATTCTAATCTTACTGCAGACAGATTCTAACACTAACTTCATCACCCCAATCATCAGGAGCTTAAGGGACCTGAAAGTGCTTTGGAAGTTGCAAAGTACTACTCAAATGACAGTAGTTACCACTGTGTTACTCTTTGTTAAGGTCATTTTTAATGGCTCTGTAACATTTTAATAGCTGAAATAAATGGAAGCATCAACATTTACATGAGCCTCCTCCTGTTGGGAGGTGTTTAAACTGCTTCCAGTTTTTGGCCATTAGAAATAATCATGCAATGAAAACCTTGTATATTACTTTCTATTTTGGATTATTTCTTTAGGTGAATTTGCAGGGGGAAATGTGTCAGTGCTTGTGACGTTTTTTAAGGCTTATGAAAAATACATAATACCAAATGACTTCCCCAAAGCACTCTACCCACGTACACATCCTCAACCAATTCATGTGTGTGTCCACTTTCTCACGGTGTTATCAGCACTGGGGTTTTTAGTTTTTTAAATTTTAGAGTGTGCCAGAAGTACACAAAGACATACACACAAAGGTATTCACTGCAGGCTTATTTACAGTAGTGAAAAACAAGAGACAACCTAAATCACCATCAATGTGTGGCTGTGGTATATCCACAGCTGAATATTCCACAACTGTTAAAAAGAATCGATGTGACTATAGCCACAGACGTGGAAGACAGTGCAGGGTACACTGGGGAGTGAGAAATGCAAGCTGTGCTCCATTCTATCTCTTGAGGAAATCAAGGGAAAACACTCCATGTTTGTTTATACTACAAGCCCTAGCCACGAGAAGGCTTCCAGGAAAGGGACATTTTAAAACATATTTGAACATGAGTAGAAATGCGAATAATGATCATGATAATTAGTAACTAGTACTTGACCATCTTCTAGGGTATGGAGCCAGATAATTCTGCCAGATAATTCTTGCACGTCATGCCTAAATAACTAGAGTTTAGATGCACTGAGAAGCAACACAGGCCTGAAATGCTATCAGCTTGCCAAACACTAAGGATTTTTAACATTAAGATCTGAAAGGTGGTAAAAAAGCAAAGCCTGTAAGAAGCACATTAAATGTGATCTTTATCTGTAAAAAACAGCCACAGATAACTTCAATTAAACTACATGACAACAAAGAGATGTTGGACTAAGTATATTCCTACAGTTAAAATCAAGTTACACTAAGGACTTTTCTTTTTATTTATTAAGAATCAACCCTGGTTTGTTTTAGAAATTTTCACTCCCAAGGGGGTTAAAGGCCAACAGCTGCCGCTCCTCCCCTCCTTCCACAACAACCTGAGATCCTGTCAATTTAGCTCTTAGCCTTACTCATGTATCTGCTGCACATAACAGAAGTGAAGCTAAATTTACCTGGCTAGGTGGAACCAGGGACCTGAAGGGTATGTTTCCTGACTTTGGTTTCATAAGAAACAAGGGGTTCTGCTCGCTGTTGAGGTGAGGCAGCTGCTGGGGTAGATAAGCCAGCATGGCTGCCTTGCTCTGGCCAGGCCCAGGACTTCCTTGCCCACAGTCTGCTTTGTAATGAGAAAGGGGCTTTGTATTGCCATAATCCAGCACGGGCCCCTGGTTATTCACGGAGTTCTGATTCAAGTTACTTGGTGGCTGGTGACTCAGCAGGTTCACGTGGCTGGGCTGGAGGTAGGGGCCTCCAGGCCGAGGGGAGCTCTTGTTTACACTGGGCATCATGAGCAGTTTGGAGTTATTGAAGTCTTGCTGGTAGCTGGCAGGGCTGGCAGGCTTCTCCATGGGATAAGGAACATCTAAGGGACTGTGGGATTGCCCTGTCTGCTGCCATGTGGACATCTGGGCTGGGGCTGGGGCCGGGGCGGCCTGCTGTGGGTTCTGGAGCATCTGCTCACGCTTCTGCTTGGCAGCTATCTGTTGGAGCTGGTGAGCAGAGGACAGCTCTGCACCCCCTCCTGTGCCCTGGCTGGGCAGCACCACACCAGAGCGGGCTCTCTGTGCATTCTGGGTCTGGGCTGATGATTGCATCAGGTTTGCACTGGTATTTTCTGTCCTGGGCTGACCAGAAGTGTGGAACATGGTCTGAGAGGACCCGAGGCTGGGGGAAGCTGTGCTCACAGGAGCAGATGAAGGCCCCATGAAGGTCTGTCCTGCAGACCCAGCTCTCACTTGTGGAGAACCTAACTGTTCTTGCTCAAAGGCTGCTGGCGAGAATTCCGTCTTAATATTAATGTCCTGTGCCAAGGGGGTCTGTGTGTTAGAACTTGAAGACTCAGGGTCCTTCTTCTCTTCAAAGTCCTCATTGAAGAGATCCTTCATGTCTTCGTCGGGCACTGACCGGTTCAGCTCCTCGATGAGCTCCTTCCACTCCTGTTCATTCAGGTTCAGGTCAGGCATGAGGTTGCTCTGTGATATGGAGCCCCCAGCCCCAGCAATCATGCAAGGAAGGTCATCAACAGGCTCTTGCTTCAGCTCTTTGTTCAAGCTCATAGGGAAGGACTCACTGGGGTTACTGCCTCCGTTCAAGTGGAGACTCGAGTCAGCCAGACACTTCTTATTGACAGAGTCAAGGGCCAGCGAGTGCTTCCCGCTGGGCTGGAGGGCATCTCCACCAGGAGGCTTGTCAGGCTGCCCCCGGGGGGAGGCTGGAGGCAGGCCATTGGCAGGGACAGCCACTCCCAGAGGGGCTTCCCGGCGTGTCTTCTTATGCCCAGGAAAGAGGTCTCCATAGCCATTCTGCTGATCACCATTCTGAGGGGAGGTAGCGCTATCAAGATTCCTCTTCACCGTATCATGGAGATGCTGAAAAACATTGAAAAGAGTGACTTATGCATGCAACATCATGTATCAAGTCCCCTCTGCCTAGAACATTAACTTAAACCAGGGGTCTGTATCCTTGGAGTCCTTGCCCGTTTCCATCGTCCACTCCCGGGCACACACCTGTTTTCCCTTGTAGCTTCACCTCTCCCCTACTCAAGTTCCTGTGGCCCCCCCACCCCTTCTACACCTGGTGGCCAGTCAGTCAGGATGGTCAGCAGTGAGAAGGCAATTCCATTCAAACCAGTGAGTCAGGGCTTGGACTTTGGTGTGCCCCCAGGAAGGAGGCATTCTCCCTTCGCAGGACACTAGCCTGCAGCTACCCGGTAGACATCTTGCCTGAGGGGCTGCCCAAGAATGGAGCCAATGAAGAAAGAAAAAGAACAAAAGGATACACATACATTTTGAGGACATCATCTGTGTCCTAGATCTAGCTGTGTGTGGGAGACCAGCAGTACCTCTGGACTTTTTACTTATGTGAACCAATAAATTCCTTTTCATGGGTAAACTGACTAGTCTATTTTTCAGGTCTTGTTCCATGCTGATTACAAATATTGCATCTCTATATTTTGACACAAGTCAGTTTTCACGTCCCTCCCAACCCCTTTAGGCTCCCTTGCCTGGGCCCATCTC